TGGCTGCACAGGAGTTACGCTGGCTCACCTACCTGCTGACCGACTTGGGAGAGGCGCCTCGTTCTCCTCCAGTTCTGTACGTCGACAACAAGGCCATGCTTGCCTTGTGTCAGGAGCACAGACTGGAGCACAGAACGAAGCACATTGCTCTGCGCTACTTCCTTGCTCGAGAGTTGCAGCAGCGTGGTCAGCTTCGTCTTGCTTACGTGGCCTCTCGGGCCAACACTGCTGATGTTTTCACCAAGGCACTTCAGCCTTGTGATCATCAGCGTTTCTGTACTGTTCTAGGCCTTGTACCTACTGTGCCTCACTTGCTTACTTCTTGACTCTGCTTGTACTGTACTCTCTTTACATATACCTGCATGCTTACACTTGCTAGGTTGTGTTCACTGTATTGTTTGTTCTCCTTTATATAACACTGCATGTGAATTGGCCTTGTGGCCATTTGCTTGTGCTCAGACTGCGTGGTGACTTTGTGATCCACCCTGAGCTTGCTTTGCCTTTCTTGACTGGTCTTGTGACCTCTTGTTCTCCCCCACTTTGCCTATGGGGGTGTGTCAAACATATATGCTATAGTCTATCTAGGCTGTAGTGGGGTAGTTCATATAGGGTACAACACTTTTAGGTTTCCTACTTGTACCCACCTGCTTGCTAGTTCAGTCATTCATTCGTTCACTATTCTAACACTCCAAAACTAATCGGCTACGTAGACGCTGACCACGCAGGCGACTCTGACAATAGGCGATCGCGCACCGGCTACATCTATCGACTTGAGCCCGTCGGTCCTATCTCGTGGCAGTCGAGAAAGCAAGAACTAATTGCTCTCTCCTTTGCTGAAGCATAATACATTGCAATCTGCTCAGCCACCAAGGAAGGATTATACCTTTGCGAACTACTGGAAGAAGCAAAGGTGGCCCAGTTACCCAGCTTCTCCCTCTTCTGCGACAACCAATCTGCAATTCGCATAGCGAACAAGAGCGGGTTCGCGAACCGAACGAAGCACATTGCCCTGCGCTATTTCTTCGTGAAGGACGAGATCGAGAAAGGGAGACTCGAGCTATCCTACTGCCCCACGTCCGAGATGGCAGCAGATTACTTGACCAAGAAACTCGGAAAGCAGAAGTTCGAGTACGGCATGCTGCTGACTGGACAAGGCCACGTCACCAGCAACGAAGGCGATGACACTCCAGAAGCGAAGGGGAGTGTTGGAAACATATAGTTCGCGCTTCTGATGTGTCGAACACTACAACGTAAGCGAAGCAAACTACAATGAAGTAACAGCGATTTAACCAAAGCGGTTGACAGAAGGACAACAGCAAGAGGTTAAGTGAAGGTCAAAGGTCAGCGACCTTTGACTCGCCGAAAAGCAGCGCGACAGCAAGGACATATAACTGACTCGCTATTGAGCAGTTACCCGAGTCGTCGCTGTATCGAACCGCAACTGCAGTTACAGTTAGTTAAACCTTTCATATTCCTTGTAATCATATAACGCCTTGTATCTCTTTGCTATAATCAACTTATCTTGTTCTCACATACCAGTGCAAGGTGGTTCAACCAGTTCACTAAGACGCTTCCGCTAATGCATCACTATTCTGAGCCTTAGTCTTGAAAAACGATCCTAAGGGCTTTTCTCAGCCCAACAGGAAGGAGGGATGAGTGTGGGGGGGCAGGCAGGTGAAATGGGAGCGGGCGCGTTGCATGTGCTTCTGCTAGGCGCCCTGTCATGCAGGCAGAAACAGGATGGATGGGCCAAGAACGACACTCATGTTGTGTGCTCCGGTTTTTTTGTGGGCTCAATAAAAAATATGCATTATACAGCCCCCCTCACGGCTCCTTGCAGGGCCCAGAGTCTTAACCAGAGAGGCAAGCTTCAGCAGGCAGATCAAGCAGGCCCCGAACTCCTGCCCAGCAGCAGCAGCAGTCGACAGCTGCACAGCACACTCCCTGCCATGGCAAAGCTGCCCGCTCTGGAGCCAGACGTTGCTCGAGTGTGCTACTCTCATACGGACAAATGCACTAGTGGCTGGAGTCACAACACAATGCTGCAATGCTTATTACCGTACTAGTACCGGTATCCCTGCCTTGCCTGAACACACGGCACAGAAATCTACTGAGAGGGTGAGAGAGGGCAAGAGGGCATGCATCCTGCCCCCACATGTTCCATATCGCCTCTCCTGTCTTCCACCCACCCTTGCAGCACTCGCTCACTCGCCGGTCCCCACTCAGGTACGAGAAGAAGATGGTCCGCATCCCGTTGTTCCCATCACAGAAATGGTGCGAGACGATGGTGGTGGGAGAATGTGCCATCCTCAATAAAGGCTGCTTGGGTGCAAGCTGCTATGAGTGATCCGCGAGTACGAAGGCTCTGCAAAAGATATTTCACATCTGTCTGCATAACCTTTTTGACATGGTAGCTTGAATGCATGCGACTGTTAAAATATATAAATCCACTGCCTGGGTACACACAAGTGTACCGCTATAATAACGGGTTATCTTTCCTAGTTACCCTAACCCCTAAATATCCCTCTGCTCCTAGCCACACGCCCACGCGTCCCCGCACAGGCGATGCGGGTTACCACGTGGTAACACGCAATTCGCTTAGGGAATCGGGATGGCGACCTTCATGTCGCGCTGGCAGTCGTCGCCAATGCTGCTGCCGAAGTAGAGCGTGGTGCCCTTGTCCGTGGGCTTCACTATGTAACGGTAGAATCCGAAATAGGTACCCGACGCGAGCGTCTTGGAGAGGAAGAAGCTGCATGTGCTGTACCCGATGATGGTGGGGAACTGCCGCACGTCGTGCCGGCCCAGCCAGCGGAACACTGCATAACGGGGATTGATGGGCGGGGGGACGGGTGAAACAGGGGATCAGAGAGGGAAAGGGACGGGCGGCGATTGCGGCAAAGCACAAAGGCTGGCTCGATTGCGGTCAAACGGGAAACCGCCTTCTTAAAGAGCAGTGTTGATTGGGAAACGCATATTCGTCACCCCAGTAAACCCAAGTCGCCGTGCGGCGTGGCTTACGTATGATATCGCCGGGCTTGATGTTCCTGGGGGGAATCCAGCCCACCACGTCCTGATTCCACGGACTGAAATAGCGCAGTAACCCCGACCCCACCTCGTATAGCTTCCCCTGTGTTTTCAGCTGCGCGGATGTAGGGCGATGGGAGAAGCGGGAAAGGCGAGAAGGAAGGAATGAATGGAAGAGGCATTGTGAGACGAATAGCGATGGTTGACGATGGGAGGGGTGGGTGAGGGGGGTGGAGGTGTGGCAGGTGGGGAAGAGCGGTGGGAGGAGATGGGGCGACGGTGGCCAGCGGATAATGGCAGAAGAAACACAGCAAGGTGCGAGCTTTGACTGGTAAATTGTTCAAGAGAAGGAAGACGGGGGGCGGGAAGGAAAGAGGGGCAGCAGCAGGGGGGCAGACACGAGGGGCAGAAGGGCGCGGAGGGCGAAGGTGGGCGGAGAGGGAGGGAAGTGGTACCTGTGCCTGGGCGAACTCTGCGTGGAACGCGCACAGGAGGACGCACGCAGTGAGAACGGCTGTGAGCCTCGCCATGCCGACGAGTGGCGCGGACTGCGAGAGCTAGGGTGAGGCACGAGCGTGCTGCTTGCGATCTGAATGCGTTGGACGCGGTCTTAACGTGCTAGTTGATACGACAGAACAAGAGTGTGCGAGAGGTGCACTGGAAAGCTATGGCAGCGGGACCTTCTGTGAGTTGAATGAACAGCTTCGCAAACAAGTGGCCGTTATACCGAATCTGCAAGGGTCAAAGGAATTTATATCGGAACTGAGGTGCGGTACTCGCTTATCATAAGGTAGTATATGTTAACAAGAATCTAGGACGGTGAGCAAAGACCACCGCCACGGACGGTCGTGGCGCCTGTTGGGCCGACAAGATTCGTCCTCTTAACCTAGCCGCCAAAGCACACAATATACGGACGCGGAGTTCTGCAGCAAAGCAAAGGCACAGGTTGTGTATGGTTGAACTAGGAGGGAGGATGGCTGTGTGTGCAGGAGTAGCTAATCCGTTGGGGTGAAATGAGAGAAATGGGCGCGGGAGAGAGGCCGCCACAATGCACGCCAAACCTAGTGCCTCAGCGAAACGTTACTGGAAAGAAGTCGAATGGGAATTTCTGAAACTAGCGAATGCGGTCCGAAGAATGCGATTCGCTAATGGACGGGGGGCGCAATCATCAGCGACTCGCAATTGGTAAGAGCCAATCAGGTGAAAACGCAGAACACAACAGCTGTCGCGAATGGGTGTCAGACGCTCAACGAGCGACGATCGGATCGTATGCGACAGTCGCCAGCGAATTCAACAACAGCAGTTGTCGGTGGCTGGGTGATTGTTCTCACTGGAGCTCCAATACCAGGATTTTTAGCAAAAGGAGAAAAAGCGCGCCAGCAAGGGGTCGAACCTTGTACCTCTCGCTTAGGAAGCGAACACTCTATCCACTGAGTTACAGGCGCACATACATTCAAATTATGCTGTTTTAAAATTTTAAATAATCTACACAAATTTTATTGTCGCCAATTATCTATTACTGGTTAGTGTACCATTCTCCATCTATTCTTATTGCATGAAAAATGGCCTCACTCAGTCCTCTCCGCATCGACGTTTTGTGAGAGCCTCAGGCCTCTCCGCGCCCACGCAACAATGCCAGCCTCCGCCTACTCACCAGCACCCGCCCAAGCCATTTCCCTGAAGTGGATCACACTTGATGTTGCCTGACAGTATCTTCTAGCCAAGGCGCTCTCGCACATGTGCTGCCATTGGTGGGACGATCTTGTTCGTCAATCGTTCCTGGCTTTCCCTCTGCTCGCACTTACGCCAAGTGATAAGCTTTACGATCGATCGAGTCGTTGCTAGGTACCCACATTCGTTTGCGCTTCGTCGTCCCCAATTCCCTTTCAGCCTCGTCTCCCGCGCACTGCGTCCCACTCCCCATTCTGACCACGACCGCTTTTTCTCTCGATAAAAGCAGCCTCGTTTCCAGGATGGATCGGCCGTACCAGGGCGGCAGCGCGGCGGCGTCGTGCGTGGAGGAAGGCGGCCGGAAAGGCGAGGCCTTTGACGATGCGGCCGCGGAGGAACTCGCGGCGAAGCTTCGTCTGAAGTTCCGGACGGGCGAGACGCGGAACCTGGCGTGGCGCGAGCAGCAGCTGCGCAACCTGTTGCGCATGGCGGAGGAGCACGAGGAGGATATCATGGCGGCGCTCAAGGATGATCTGGGGCGCGGGCGAATGGAGGCGCTCATCGAGGTGTGGCACTGGGTGTGGGGCGTTGATATTTGAGAGAGTGAGGGCGTGGTGCTTGTGTGGCGCGCATGGCGGAGGAGCACGAGAACGACATGATGGCGGCACTCAAGGATGATTTGCGCCGCGGCCGCATGGAGGCCCTCGTCGAGGTATCGCGGGCCTTCTGAAGTGCCTCAGCGATTTTCGTCTGTTTGTTGTTTATTGTCTTTTTTCCCTCTTCTCCTTTTTTAGGATATTTTGGGCTGACATTGGGAAATACGCACACCAACGAGCGGGGAGTGGGGGGAGTGGTTCAGAGAAACTGAGAACGAGAGTCTGGGCGCAAGAAGCTCATCGAATCGAATCATTGACAGTGGGCGAACGAGTGTCAGTGCCTGACATCCTGCCTCGTCCTTCCGCCCGCCCGCCCCTCAATCTGGAAACTTGCTTCCCCCAATCCGGCCGCAGGTGCTGGGCATGTGGCATGCAGCGGGCCACATGGCGATGAGGCCTGAGGGATTTCTCTGCTGAAGCGGCCTGCATTGAATACTGCCGCTCGGCTCCCTGCCCCGCTCTACCCAACCCAATCCGCCTGCAGGTGCTGAGCGTGTGGAAGGTGGCGAGCCACATGCTGAAGCACTTCAAGAAATGGGTGCAGCCACAAAAGGTGCGGATGGGTGGGTGGACGGGGAGAGGGGCGCGGGTGGGGGAAGAGAGGGGGCTTGGGTGGGGAGAGGGCGTGTGGAAGGCGGCGAGCCGCACGCTGAAGCACTTCAAGACGTGGGTGCAACCTCAAAAGGTGCGCTGTGGCAATGGCTGGGCAAGGGTGGGGGAAGGGGCTTGGCTTTGGGTGAGGGGGGGGAGAGGGAGCTTGGGGAGTTGAGGGCATTTGTGGACTTTGAGCAGGGATGGGAGCGAGTGTTACACGTATGCGCCTTAGATGCGTTGACTGGTGGGCGGACCTGTCAAATCACGTCGAGAAGGGGTTTCATTCTCTCAATGTCAGAGCTGCTCGCCTGTCAGCCATTGCCTGACCGCGTGCCCACGGCGAACACGTGTTTGCATCTCCTCGTGCCCATCCTCTCTCCTCTCTATCTATTCCTTCCCACTTGTCACCCGCCACGCTCACGCCCCCTTCTTTCCACACCCGCCACCGCCAGGTGGGCACGCCCTTGACGTTGAGGCCAGGGCGATCAGAGGTGCTCTAAGAGCCACTGCACTGGGTGTGTTTTCAGGCGCCTCAAAAGTCGTCTCAAAAGTCTCCCACCACCACCCCCCCCCCCCCCCCACCCACCACCAGGTGAACACGCCCTTGACGTTGAGGCCAGGGCGGTCGGAGGTGGTGCTGTACGAGGCGCTGGGCGTGGTCAAATGACATAGCAGCCTAGCAGGAGAGTCACTCTCTTCCATTTCACACGTGCATATTCTCTTCCCTCCCGCATCTCCTCGTCTCCCCTCACTGCCACCAGGTGGGCACACCAGTGTACTGGAGGTCAGGCCGCTCGGAGGTGCTGTACGAGCCATTGGGCATGTCCTGAGGCGCTTCACAGGTCGCCTCACAAGTCACCTCAGAAGTTGGCTTACAATTTGCCTAAAGAGTCTTTCCCTCCCCACGCCAGGTGGGCACGCCAGTGTCGATGAGGCCAGGCCACTCAGAGGTGCTGTACGAGCCACTGGGAGTGGTGCTCATCATCTCGCCCTGGAACTTCCCCTTCCGTATGTGCTTCCCACCTTCCCTTGTGTACGTCCCTCCCTTCACCACCTCTCCCTGCCACGTCCCTTCTGATCTGACCGTGCTGCTCACCATCGAGCCCTGGAACTTCCCCTTCCGTAAGTCCCCTGTCCTTCGCCGCCTGACAACTTCCCTGGACCGGGCACCAAATGTAAAGGTCATGATACCTCACTGCTCTTCCACTGCCAATGGTGATCATCATCGCGCCCTGGAACTTCCCCTTCCGTACGTGCTTCCTGCCTTCCCTTGTGTACGTCGTCACCACCTCTCCCTGCCACGTCCCTTCTGATCTGACCTTGCTGCTCGCTGGCCCTGCTGCTCATCATCTCGCCCTGGAACTTCCCCTCCGTACGTGCTGGCACACTTACTAGCAAGCGCTAACACTAAAGGTCATGGTGCTGAACAATAGCCGCTGCCTCGTAATGCTCGTGCTACCTCATTGCTGTATGAGCCGCTCGGCGTGGTGCTCGTTATCTGGCTCTGGAACTTTCCTGGGGGATCTTCGGACATAATTCCAGTGAGCAGTGTTTGCTTAGGAGTAGGTTTAATTTAAGCAAGTAGGAAAAGACACTAAGAAACATTAACATCTTGCCCAGGTGGAAAGTGGAACTTCCCCCTCTGTACATCCACTTTCCACCGCTCCTCCTTGTTCTTACCTTTTTCTGTATATCCAGACTGAGTTTCTGGAGAATTTTCTGCTCATACGCTGCACCGCCCGCACATAGGCTGCACCGCACCCTCATACGCTACATCGCACGCTCGTGCGCTGCATCGCCCGCTCGTACGCTGCACCGCCCGCTCACACGCTGCACCGCGCGCTCATACGCTGCACCGGAACTGGAGCTGCAGTCCCAGCTTGGGGACTGGAGCTGGAGTCCCCGCTCATACGCTGCACCGCCCACGCATACGCTGCACCGTAGGCGGCAGCGGGCAACATGGGGGTGCTCAAGCCCTCACTCGCCTGATCCGTTCGTCTTAACCATCTCAGTTTCCCCTGCCTTCCCCCCTTCGGCATCCCGTTTCTCCCAGTGCTGTCTCTGGAGCGGCTAATAGGCGCGCTAGCTGCGGGCAACGCAGTGGTGCTCAAGCCCTCACTTGCCTCATCCGCTCATCTCTACCATTCACCCAAACGTGGGCGTTTCCCTCCCCATTACCCTCCCGTGCACATCCACCAGTGCTGAGTCTGGAGCCGCTAATAGGAGCCCTGGCAGCAGGCAACGTGGTGGTGCTGAAGCCTTCAGAGCACTCCCCCGCCGCCTCGCACCTGCTCTCGCGCCTCCTCCCCCTCTACCTCGACTCACAGGCCGTGCAGGCAGGTGCTATCCCAGGCAGGTGCTATCCCTATCTGAGGCAAGTAGATGCAATCCCAGGCAGGTGCTATCCCAGGTAGGTGCTATCCCAGGTAGGTGCTATCCCAGGTAGGTGCTATCCCAGGTAGGTGCTATCCCAGGCAGGTGTGTTTTGACGTAGGTGAATTCTCAATACCCAACCCCCTCCTCTCGTGCCTCCTCCCTCTCGACCTCGACTCACAGGCCGTGCAGGCAGGTGCCATTTCAAGCAGATGCTATCACTTCTTCCCTTGTGCTGCCACCCCCCTGCCCTTCCCTCTCCCCGAGTTCCTCGTCCCCTCCTGCCTTTCCCCCTGCCTTGCAATGATCAGGCGTTGGGCCAGGCACAGGGCGCTGTTAGGCTGTCTCAGAAGGTCACCCATTCCTCTTCCCTTGTTCCGTGTGAACCCTCTGCCTCTGCCTCTGCCTCTACCTCTGCCTCTGCCTCTGCCTCTGCCCTGCCCTGCCTCACAATCAGCAGGTGGTGGAAGGCGGGCCAGAGACAGGCAAGGCACTGCTGGGGCGGCGGTGGGATAAGATCTTCTTTACGGGCGGCACGGCGCTGGGGCGCATTGTGATGGAGGCGGCCAGTAAGCATCTGACACCTGTCACTCTGGAGCTGGGCGGCAAGAATCCACTGTTCATCGACGAGTCTGCTGACCTGGAGGTGTGTGCTGCTGACCTGGAGGTGTGTGCTGCTGACCTGGAGGTGTGTGCTGCTTACCTGGAGGTGTGTGCTGCTGTGTCGAGTGCAATGTGCATGTCCCGTCACACATGGCCCATCCCATGACACACCCCTTTTCCTTTGCCTCCCATCCCTTCTCCAATGCCCCATACCCCATACCCCACCCTCGTGGCCCATGCCCCTCGACACCGCTCTCAACCCCGCTGCACCCCCCCAGATCTCAGCGAAGCGGATCGTATCGGGCAAGTGCACGAACGCGGGGCAGGTGTGCCTCGTGCCCGACTATATCCTCACCACCAAGGACGTGGCTGCGAGACTGGTGAGAGGGCGGGCAGGGTGAAGGGATGATGGCAGAGATAGGGTGAAGTATACGGTCAAGGCAAGGGAGTTGGAGCACAAGCAGAGGGCAGGTGTGCCTGGCGCCCGACTATATCCTCGCCACCAAGGACGTGGCTGCGAGACTGGTGCGTGGGGGAGGGAGTGAAGGGGCTCGGATAGGGAGATGGAGTTGGGATGAGGCAACGAAGAGGAGCACAACGAGAGGGCAGGTGTGCCCAAATCTGCTGCTCCTGCCTCTCTCCTTCTCTCTGACTCTGCTCCCATTTTCTGCTTTCTACGGCACCAACCCCGCTCTCTGTCTGCCCCCTCTCTCTGCTCCTTTTCACTCCGTATCTCTCTCCTCCCCATCAGCTGCCCCATCTCAAGGCGGCAATCGAGCAGTTCTACGGCACCAACCCCGCTCTCTGCCCGGACCTCGCCCGCGTCATCAACACCTCTCATGTGCTCCGCCTGCAGAAGCTGCTCGAGAACCCTGCCACCGCCTCCTGTGTCGTGCATGGGGGGCAGAGCGACGTTGAGTCAAGTTGAGTCAAGGTGAGTCAAGGTGAGTCAAGGTGAGTCAAGGTGAGTCAAGGTGAGTCGAAGCAGGTCAATGCAATTCAACGCAGCTCAATGCGGTTTCCCAGTTTCCCCTCACTCCTGCCACTAACTGTGAGGAAAACAAAACAAAAACAAAAACAAAAACAGAAACAAATATGAAAAAAAAGACAAACAAACAAAGAAGCAACAAAACCACCTTCCTATTATGCTTTCCCATCACAACTATTCCGTTACCCCCAACTAGACATGAGCACAAGGGCGAACACCTGTTCGGTTCGCCTCGAACGTGTTCGAGGTGAACCGAACAGGTTTGTTTTTTTTGCTTAAATTGTTCGCCGAACAGTGTTCGATGTTCGCCCGAACACGTTCGTGTTCGGGCCGCTGCTGCAATTTGCCCCGCGACGAACACGAACGTGTTGGAGGTTCGCCCGAACACGCCTTCACAGGCGAACGGCGAACACGTGTTTTTGCTTAAAGTGTTCGCCGAACCGAACAGTGTTCGGTTCGGCAAACGGATGTGTTCGTCAAGGGGCGAACACGAACATGTTCGTGTTCGCCCCTTGCTCATCCCTACCCCCAACCCATCACCCCTCCTCCACTCTGCTCACCCCACCCACGTAACCTTCCTGCGTTTCCCGCCCTCCACCAACCCCCCAGGTACTTAGCGCCAACGCTGCTAGTCAACGAGACCTGGGATGCGACATTTGATTCGACAGAAAGAAAACTCTTCCACCTTCCTAACCATCCCTCTCCCCCCCCCCCCCCCCGCCCCCTCTCTCCCCCAGGTACTTTGCACCAACGCTGCTGCTGAACGTGCCCTGGGATGCCCCCATCATGCAGTCCGAGGTCTTTGGACCCATCCTGGCCATCCAAACTGTGAGACCCCTCATCCTAGCCGTCTAGTCTCCCTGCCTTCCTCGTTTCCCTTCTCCCCACCTCCCACCACAAGCTGCCTTTTCTATACACCATGCCTCAGGTCGCTATTCTGCTCTCACCAAGCCCCTGAGGCCCGAATGGTAGCCGTTTGCTGTCCGCCCATACTGCACCACTGGCCCCCTCTCTCCCCCCCATCAGGTGTCGGGCATAGACGAGGCGATTGCCATCATCAACGCGTGTCCCAAGCCGCTGGTGGTGATGGTGTCCTGTCCGCCCATGTGCTTCCTCTGCCCTTTCTTCACCCAATACTGCCCCTCTCTCTCCCCCCCATCAGGTGTCGGGAATCGACGAGGCGATTGACATCATCAACGCGCGTCCCAAGCCGCTGGTGGTGATGGTGTTCTCGTCCCGGGAGGACACGCGGCAGCGCTTCCTCAAGGAGACCAGCTCGGGGGCTGTCGTGGCCAACGAGCTCATCCTGCAGGTGCGGCGAAGGCACAGGGGCGAGGGGGGAGATTGATGGAGGGAGAGGGGGAAAGTGAGCCATGAGGCTAGTGCGTGTGTTCTCGTCCCGAGAGGAGACCACGCGGCAGCGCTTCGTCAAGGAGACCAGCTCGGGGGCTGTGGTGACCAACGAGCTCATCCCGCAGGTGCGGTTGAGGGGGAGGTGGGCAGACGGGGTGGGGTAGACGCAGGGACCGGTGAGGGTGAGTGGGGAGAGGGCGAGGGGAGAGGGTGGTATTCACAACCCTAGAGAACGTCTGGCAACGCTTTGTCAAGGAGACCAGCTCGGGGGCTGTGGTGACCAACGAGCTCATCCCGCAGGTGTGGGAGAGGGGAAAGGGGGGGGGGACGGGACTAAGGGAAGGGGGAGGAAGAGATAGGGAGAGTCTGGGAGAGGTATGCAGTTAGTGAGTGTGATCTGACCCGAGGGCGTGCGGAACCGTTTCATGAGAGAGAGAGAGAGAGAGAGAGAGCAGCTCGGGTGCTGTGATGGGCTACTAACTCATCCTGTAGGTTTGAAAGGGGGAGGGGAGAGGAGAGCGAGGAGGGGCAGGGAGAAGCAAGAGGGTGGTTAGTCTGTACCTGGGGGAGGGGAGAGGGAAGAGGGAAGGGGGAGGAGAGAGGGAAGCACCTGGGGCATCTGAGGAAGGTACAGCCGGGGCAGGAACTGTAGAGCGTCGATACTCACCGGCGGTTTCACTCCGTTCTTATGCTCACGACTGAATCACCTCTCCTTCTCACACCACCACCCATCTCTACCCTTTTCCCTCCCCAATCTCTCCGTTTGTCTGTCCCATATCTCTCCCTTTGTCTGTCCCATATCTCTCCCTTTGTCTGTCCCAATCTCACCCACTCCTCCAAACGGTAGTTCTGGAGTAGCTACTCCATCGACTGCTCATGACTGAATCACCTCTCCCTCTCACATTTCCACCCCTCCCCCCTCCCCACACCGCTTCCAGGCAGGCAACCTGGAGCTACCGTTCGGTGGTGTGGGAGACAGTGGCATGGGGCGGTACAAGGGGCACCACTCCATCGACTGCTTCAGCCACTGCAAGGCCGCCTACACCAGACCCCTCTCCAAGGACCTGGCGGCGCGCTTCCCCCCCAGCACGCGACGAGGGGAGATGATTGTGAAGGCGGTGATCAAAGGGGCGTACTGGACGCTGCTGCTGCTGCTGCTGGGGCTCAAGAAGCATTAGTGCACTGTGTCTTATTGAGATGTCGAGATGATTGTGAAGGCGGTGATCGAAGGGGCTTACTGGATGCTGCTGCTGCTTTTGGGACTTGAGAAGTGCTAGGCCTGGTGCAGGGCCTGTGGGTTGTGACTGTCACAAGTTCTGCTAAAAAGTGCTACCGTAACGTTGGTGAAGGGCCTTCGTGAGTAGTAGGTAGACCAGTAAGGCAGGCAACCCATAACGAAAAGCCGGGCTCACTGGAAACCCAACAAGGCAATGTATTTATGACTAGAAGAAGTTCCGACCACTGTTAACCACTACTTTACGGAAGTATCTCGCAAAGATGTACCGTACATTGTTGTTGATTTTTGTTAAGCTGAACTGTACATAGCTGTACAAAACCATACAAAGCTGCACGCATACCTAAATGCATCAACGGGTTTTGTCGTGTTGCTTTAGAACAGTCAACACTGGAGAGGGCACCACACCATGCACACACAAGAGAAGCCATGTACAATTCGCAAGAGCCACTAAGGTTCCCTCTACTCTGGTCAGCCTTTGGACCATGTGAGAATGTAACCACACTGAAGCATCAATGCTAGCTAAAGCAGCACCAAACACACACTCAGCTACAATGCTCGAACCCTCAGCTGCGTTGCTCGCCCCCTCTGCTGCTTTGTTCGCACCCTCAGCTGCGTTGCTCGCATGCTCAGCTGAGTTGCTCGCACCCTCAGCTGCGTTGCTCGCACGCTCAGCTGAGTTGCTCGCACCCTCAGCTGCGTTGCTCGCACCATCAGATGCGTTGCTCTCACCATCAGCTGCGGTAATCGCACACTCAGCTGCGTTGCTCGCACCATCAGCTGCATTGCTCCAAGTGACGACGTGTTCCAAGTGACGACTTGGTCCAACTGAGGACTTGGTCCAAGTGACGACATGGTCCAAGTGAGCACTTGGTCCAAGTGACGACTTGGTCCAAATGACGACTTGATCCAAGTGAGGACTCGGTCCAAGTGACGACATGGTTTAAGTGAGCACTTGGTCCAAGTGAGGACTTGGTCCAAGTGAGGAATTGGTTTAAGTGACGACATGGTCCAAGTAAGCACTTGGTCCAAGCAACAACTTAGTCTAAGTGAGCACTTGGAACAAGTGAGGACTTGGTCCAAGTGACGACTTGGTGAAAGTGAGCACTTGGTCCAAGTGATGCGAGGATATCCGTCGCAAGGATATCCGCGCGAGGATATTCGCTCGAGGATATCAGCTCGAGGATATCTGCTCCAGGATATCCACACGGAGGATATCCGCCCGAGGATCGATTGGTCAGGCGGTGGACACAGTAAGGGAGGAGTAAGGCCAGTAGAAGAGGGGACACCAAAAACCTGCAGAAGCAGGGGAACAAAGTACAGTCGCGGCCGCACAGTGCCTCCAGTACCAGCACCACCAGACACAGCACCCCCAGCTCCAGCACCTCCAACTCCAGGGTAAACAGCTCCAGCTCCTCCAGCCCCAGCACCTCCCGCTCCAGCGCCACCAGCGCCAGTGCCTCTAGCTCCAACGTCTCCAGTCCCAGCGGCTCCAAGCTTCGTAGGGGCTCCAGCTCCAGCTCCCCCAACACCACCAGTCCCGGCAGCTCCAGTACCCCTGGTACGAGCACCTCCAGGACCAGCAGCTGCAACACCTCCGGTACCCCCAGCTCCAGCAGTAACTCCAGCACCTCCAGCTCCAATGTCTCTAGCGGCAGAGTCTCCAGCTCCGGCAGCTCCACTCCGAAGGCGGGTGCGCTGAGCAAACCACTCGCGTAGCTGCTACAGGGAGAGAGGCTCCGGCCGGGGAGACAGTCGTGGCGAAGCACCCGCAGGACCTCCAGAAGAAGCAGTACCCCGAGGCTCAGCACCCCCAGACTCCGCACCCTCAGACTCAGCACCCCCAGGCTCCACACCCTCAGGCTCAGCACCCCCAGGCTCCACACCCGCAGGCTCCGCACCCCCAGGCTCCGCACCCCCAGGCTCAGCACCCCCAGACCCAGCACCCTCAGACTCAGCACCCCCAGGCTCCGCACCCCCAGACGCAGCACCCCCAGACGCAGCACCTCGAGCAGCAGCACCTGAGCCGACAGCTACCTCAACAGGCACAGTACCAGGGAGAGGGTCTACCTGAGACACACCTGAGGGAGCAGGACCCTGGGGGGGGAGGGGGTCTACCGGAGGGGGACCTAGAGCAAGGAAGAGCGGCGAGGGTGGGGTAGGGGCAGAGCGGTAGGGGAAGAGACGGTAAAAGGGAACCGACTCGTCAAACGTGACGTCCTGAGAGGGGAAGACACGGCGCGAGGTGGGGTGGTAAAACTGCCAGCCATGCGCGTCAGGGGGAAAACCAAGGAAGACGCAGGGAATAGCGCGGGCGGAGAGCTTGTCCGCGGACGTATCGCGAACAAAGGCACAAGAGCCCCAGACCCGGAACACTGACGCATCGCCAACCTCCCCCGTCCAACGCAGTGTCGGCGAGGTCTCTGGCAAGGAGACACAAGGCCAGAGGTTGAGCTGATGCGCAGCGTACCGGACCGCAAACGGCCATAGAAAATGGGGAGCAGCCGCATGGATCATGGAGGTATGAGCGACCTCCATGACTAAGCCAATGCGGCGCTCAGCAATCCCATTTTGCTGAGGGGAGGCCGGAAGCGTGAACGACTGAAGAATGCCCTCCCCATGACAAAAGTCCCGCAAGAGGTCAGAGGAGAACTCACCACCTCTGTCAGAGTGCAGACGCAGGACAGGAAGGTCTTGGCGGAACCGCTCGCGAAGCTGGAGACGGACTGCGCGGATCCAAGTGATCAAGACATCAGGGACCTCACCCTTGCTGCGCAAGGGGAAGACCGTGGTGTAGCGCGTGTAGTCATCAACAACCAGCAGAAATTAGCGCTTGCGGCCCTGTCCACTGACGCGGGCTGGGCCCCACACGTCCATGTGGAGAGTCTGCAAGGGAGCACTCGTTGGGGGAAACGAGGAGTGAGGAGCGGCGCGCTGCCGCCCCTCGACACAAGGAAGGCAGGGCGAGGCAGGCGAGGGCGGGAGGGGAGGCAGAGACCTGGGAAGACCAGAGACAAGGAGGCCGGATTGCATGCCACGAAGGCGTGGCAGGGAGGGGTGACCAAGGCGGTGGTGCCACAGGAGGGTCTGGTGCGACAGGAGGCGACACGAGCAAGGGGGTGCTACCTGACCTGACGCGGACACCTGGGCAGACGCAGCTACCTGAGGAGGCTCAATAGCCAGTGTGTACAGACTCGACCCAGGCCGACGTGTGAACGTGGCCAGGTGGCGGCCCGTCCGTGTACACGTGCAGATCGACACACGCTGACCTCTAGGAGTGGTGGTAGTGACCATCGCGTCCTTGAGGGCAGCTGTACTCACCAAGTTCGTGGAGAACGAGGGGAGGTAAAGGCCTGACAGTGAGCCGGGCGGAATTGCCGGACACGGGAGAACAGTGGAGAAACGGGCAAGGACTGGGCCTCCGAAGGGGTCAGCCAGTCTGACCGGAACAAGTGCAGAGAGAGGAGTGAGGGTGGTGCTGTCGCGAAAGAAACAGCGTGAAGCACCTGAGTCAAGTGTAAATGTGTGCAAGGCCTCAGCAGGCGCAGTACCAGGGAGAACAGACTCACTAGCACCTAGAGCAGCAGCCTCTATACCTGGGTCAGGCGGCACACACAGGTAACAGTCACCCTCAGCACTAACAGACAGAGCATACATAGCAGCAAGGATAGCATCATAGTGTAGGTCAAAGATAGCGACTCCAGACCTAAGCAGCTCTGCCCAGCGGGGGCGCTCGGCCTCGTCACCAAACTCTGCGCGCCAAGCGTCGTCAAGGCGGGAGAAGCAGCGGTGCTGAGTGTGAGGCTTCTCGCATGTCTGACCAGCACGGTCACCCGTGCGAATGACATACGGGCAGCTACCACTACCCCCAGACGCCCCACGCTGAGAAAACCACTCACCAAGCTGCTGGGGCGACGGGGTGTCACTCCGACGCTGCTGCTGCTGCCTCTGGCCACCGCCAGAACCTCCACGCTGAGTAGCTCCAGCCCTACCGCCACCACTCCCACTGCCGCCACTACCGCCACTCCCACCGCTGCCACCACCGCCTCCACCAAAGCCCTCACTCCCGCCACCACTCCCACTACCACCACCACCTCCACTACCTCCACCACCTCCACTGCTGCCCCCACCACCACCCCCGCTGCCACCGCCACCGCCCCTGCCACCCTTGTCCTTTTTTGTTGCGGCGCTTCGCACTAGCAGAAGCAGCCCCGACGTCCTCCGCACCAGGGACGTCAACAGCAGCAGCAGCAGAGGCGTAGGAGGGAGCAAGGGGGGAGGGGGAGCATTCCTCAAAGAAGGGCGTGCGCGGAGTGCCACGAGCAGCACCTAGAGCGACTACACTAGTCTCAGCTGCAAGGAGGTGCTGCTCGAGAAGGTCAATAGTGAGGGCTGTGGGGTCAAGTGCGAGAAAGTGGTCCCTGACAGCGCGAAGAGAGTCAGGGAGGCGGGTGACTATAAAGTAAAGAGTGATGTACATCGGGGGTGGGTTCTTGTCAAGGAACTCTGCTGGGAGGGCAGCGCGGTAGCGAGCGTCGCTAGTGCGAAGGTGGGAAACCAGGTCCTCTATTATTGCAAAGGCGGACAGCTCGAGAAACAGGTAGGGCAGTAGAAGACGGCCTAGAGCAGCAATGGCAGGCGAGGAGTAACGGACGACTACAGCGTCATACAGAGCCTGTGCTGTCCTGTGCTGTCCGAAGTGAGCGCATTCGGTTAACGGCTGGTGGTTGCGAATGGCTAAGCGAGCAGTAGCGTCACGAGTAAGCCACTGTGAGCAAGTCGCACTGTCAGCTGTGGCGGGAGGGGCGGGAGCAGCACCAGACGTGTGGTCAAACAACGAAACGCTGTCCCTAGAGTCGCTCAGTAGGTACAGCTGCAGGTCGTCAAGCCACGTGTCGAATTGGATCGAGCGGCCCTCATGATCGAACGCTAGAACGCGGAGAGAAGCCATAGCAGCGCAGCATGCTGGGCGGGTAGAAGCCGGGCAGCGCAGGGAACAGGGCAGGCAGCAGAGAGGGGCGGCAAGCAGGGTGCAGGAGAGGCGGCTCGAGGGCCTAGGGGTGGCGGGCGGGTCGCAAGGGGCGGCTAGGGGGCCACCAGGGGCAGCGCGCGGGGCTGCAAGGTCGGCTCGCGGGCTGCAGGGGCGAGGGGCGGGCCGCAAGGGGCAGCGCGCGGGGCCCTGGGTCGACGGGCGGGCCGGGGTCTAGGGGCGACGGCCGCGGGGCGACGGGCGACGGGCCGGGGCCTAGGGGCGACGGGCGACGGGCCGGGGCGTAGGGGCGACGGGCCGGGGCTAGGGGCGACGGGCCTAGGGGCGACGGGCGTCGGGCCGGGGCCTAGGGGCGACGGGCGACGGGCCGGGGCTAGGGGCAACGGGCCGGGGCTTAGGGGGCGACGGGCGACGGGCCCGGGCCTAGGGGCGACGGGCCGGGGCCGGGGCCGAGGGGCGACGGGCGTGGGACGACGGGCGACGGGCCGGGGCCTAGGGGCGACGGGCCGGGGCTAGGGGCAACGGGCGACGGGCCGGGGCCTAGGGGCGACGGGCGACGGGCCGGGGCCTAGGGGCGACGGGCGACGGGCCGGGGCCTAGGGGCGACGGGCGACGGGCCGGGGCCTAGGGGCGACGGGCGACGGGCCGGGGCCTAGGGGCGACGGGCGACGGGCCGGGGCCTAGGGTCGATTGGCAGGCCGCACAAGGGCGGCGCACGGGGCAGCAGGTGCGGCACGAGGGTCGCTAGGGGCGGCGCGTGATCCAGCAGGGCGGCTAGTGGGGCAGCGCTGTGGTGGGCCCCAAAAAAAAAAACGGTCCTAACGAAGGACCTGCTCTGAAACCATGTCAGAATAACGAACGAGAATGAATGCATTGAACAGAAGTTGGGTACAAGTACTAACCCTAATTGGGTTGTACCCCTTATGGGCTACCCCACTATAGCCTACACAAATGTAAGCACTATAACATTCTGACAGGCGCGACGGGCAGGCCAGAGCAGCGCGCGGCCAGCAGGGCGGCGCGCGGGCAGCAGGGCGGTGCGCAGGCAGGAAACTGTCAAACTTATATGCTATAATATGTTTAGGCTGTAGTGGGGTAGTTTGTATAGGGTACAACACTTTTAGGTTTCCCATATGTACCCACCTGCTTTCTAGTTCAGTCATTCATTCGCTCACATTCTAACAGAAACGGCGGCGCGCAGGCAGGGCAGGGCGGCGCGCAGCAAGCAGGGCAGCGCGACAGTCAGGGCAAGGCAGGGCAGCGCGACAGTCAGGGCAAGGCAGGGCAGCGCGACTGGTGGGGTAGTGCGCTACGGGCAGCTAAGGAATCGGTGGGCCCTAAAAAAAAACGGTCCTGGAACAGGACTTGCTCTGAAACCATGTCAAAAAAAACTTAACGAGGATGAATGCATTTAGAAGAAAGGTGGTACAAGTACTAACCCTAATTGGGTTGTCCCCCTTATGGGCTACCCCACTACTGCCTACACAACCTAAACTTAATAATAGTTTGACAGATATCCCCTCGAGGATATCCGTACCGAGGATATCCACTCAAGGATATCCACTCTGAGAATATCCACTCCGATGATACACCTGATGCCTATTTCAGTCCCCTTTCCTGTCTTTCTTTCTGCTCCTCTCTCGAGCACGCGCCAGCTAGGGGCAGAATGGGACTGAATGTAGAGCAAAGGTGACAAACTCAACTACAGTGGCCAAAATTGTGGGTAGCCCAGCGTGTGTTGTATGGGAAACTCGAATATCTTGGGTTTGTTGTTGGCCGGTAATGTTCGGGCCATTGGCGATAAATGTCGACCACTGGGCGTATGGAATGATAGGGGGCGTGTTCAGAGTGGGCGGTTGGGTGAGCATTAGGGTGTATCCACTCTGAGGATATCCCCACTCCGAGGATATTCACTCGAGGATATCCATTCAGAGGATATCCACTCGAAGATATCCACCCGAGGATATCCACTCGAAGAATATCCACTCAAGGATATCCACTCGATAATATCCACTCGATGATATCCACTCCAAGGATATCCACTCGAGGATATCCACTCCGAGAATATCCAATCGAGGATATCCACTCGATGATATCCACTTGTTTTTTTGCGGATATCCGAACGTTGGATATCCGTCGTTTTTTCGGATATCTGTACACTGGATATCCGCTGTTTTGCGGATATCCGTACATTGGATATCCGTTGTTTTGCGGATACCGTATGGCCCCGGATATAGGCGCCGTCCGATTAAAGGCGCCGGCGCTTCTATCTGGAGCATGACGCTTATGGTCGGAATTCGATTATAAGCGCCCCCCCCTGTAAAACACTGACATATTATAAGCGAATGCAAATTTTAATTTTCAATGCTGATTAAAACGGTAACGAATTTCAAATTTCTAGCGAGTCAACACCCCCATTTTCAATTTGTTTAAAGCCAGGATCTCAAGTACCGGAAATTGTGGTCAACTGCAAAACACTTGACGGCTGGTTACTATGTTAATTGCGCCGAAGTGACAGGTTGGGTTGTGATGCATTTTGATTGGTCACCTCACCAAACCAGCCCAGAAAACCAATTCTGCGACTTCGAGCGACCTCAACCACGGAAAGAATCGCCAGCCCAGCACAACCAAATGCAAAACATCTGCAAAACAACTTGAGACAGAATGTAGGAGTGGCTAGAGCCGAGGAGAACACCCTCTCGACTGAACTATCACGCTAGCGGCAATCACGCCAATCCCATTCACGGCAAGCAGCACATCCTACTCGCATGTCTAACACTCACACACATTTCAGAGAAACCTACATAGAGATAAAATCGCGTCGGAAAAGCAAGATAGCGTAGGATAGTACCGTAGGTTGAATCCCTCCGCATTCGCCGGGTCGCCTGCGATGAGGACTCGTCGCCGTAATAGAAGGCGCAATGTAAGGCACATTCCTCGCTCACACTCCTCCCCTCCGCGCTCACTGTCTCTGCCCTCCGCGCTCACATTCCTCTCCTCCGCCCTCACATTCCTCCCCTCCCAATCCGCGCTCACATTTCCTCCCCTGCGCGCTCACATTCCTCCCCTCCCCTTCCGCGCTCACATTCCTCGTCTCCGCGCTCACATTCCCTTCCCTCCCCTCCGCGCTCACATTCCTCCCCTCCCACTCCGCGCTCACATTTCCTCCCCTCCGCACTCACATTCATCCCCTCCTCGCTCACATTCCTCTCCTCCGCGCTCACATTCCTCCCCTCCCTCACCGCGCTCACATTCCTCCCCTCCCTCACCGCGCTCACATTCCTCCCCTCCCTCACCGCGCTCACATTCCTCCCCTCCCTCACCGCGCTCACATTCCTCCCCTCCCTCACCGCGCTCACATTCCTCACCTCCCTCACCGCGCTCACATTCCTCCCCCCCGCAACTTCACATTCCTCCCCTCCGCCCTCACATTCCTCCCCTCCCCATCCGCGCTCACATTTCCTCCCCTGCGCGCTCACATTCCTCCCCTCCCCTTCCGCGCTCACATTCCTCCCCTCCCCTTCCGCGCTCACATTCCTCGTCTCCGCGCTCACATTCCCTTCCCTCCCCTCCGCGCTCACATTCCTCCCCTCCCACTCCGCGCTCACATTCCTCTCCTCCCCCTCCTCGCTCACATTCCTCTCCTCCCCCTCCTCGCTCACATTCCTCCCCTCCCCCTCCGCGCTCACATTTCTCTCCTCCCCCTCCTCGCTCACATTCCTCTCCTCCCCCTCCTCGCTCACATTCCTCCCCTCCCCCTCCGCGCTCACATTCCAACCGCAACCGCAATTCCCCTTCCATCCCATCTCTCCTCTCCTCATCTCTCATCTGCCCCACTTGTCTCCCCTTTGCTCCCCTCTTGACAAACCCTTCTGTCTCACCTCTCATCAGCCCCACATGTCTCCCCTCCCCTCTTCTCTCCTCCGTCCCTCTTGTCTCTCCTCCCTCCTCCTCTAATCTGCCCCACTTGTCTCCCCTCCTGCGCCTCTCATCTACCCCACTTCTCTCCCCTCCCTGCTCCTCTCATCCGCCCCACTCGTCTCCCCTCTCGTTTCCTAGCATCCGCCCCACTTCTCTCCCCTCCGTGCTCCTCCCATTTGCCCCACTTGTCTCCCCTCCCTGCTCCTCTCATCCGCCCCACTTCTCTCCCCTCCCTGCTCCTCTCATCCGCCCCACTTCTCTCACCTCCCCTCTTCCCTCATCCGTCCCTCCCACCTCTCCTCCCTCCTCCTCTAATCTGCCCCACTTGTCTCCCCTCCCTGCTCCTCTCATCCGCCCCACTTCTCTCCCCTCCCTGCTCCTCTCATCCGCCCCACTTGTCTCACCTCCCCTCTTCTCTCCTCCGTCCCTCCCACCTCTCCTCCCTCTTCCTCTCATCTACCCCACTTGTCTCCCCTCCCTGCTCCTCTCATCCGCCCCACTTGTCTCCCCTCCCCTCTTCTCTCCTCCGTCCCTCCCACCTCTCCACCCTCTTCCTCTCATCCGCCCCACTTGTCTCCCCTCCCCTTTGCTAGCATCCGCCCCACTTGTCTCCCCTCCCTGCTCCTCTCCTCCGCCCCACTTCTCTCCCCTCCCTGCTCCTCTCATCCTCCCCATTTGTCTCCCCTCCCCTTTCCTCCCCTCCGCCCTCACATTCTCTCCCCTTCCTGCTCCTCCCATCCGGCCCACCTGTCTCCCCTCCCTGCTCCTCCCATCCGGCCCACTTGTCTCCCCTCCCTGCTCTTCTCATCCGCCCCACTTGTCTCCCCTCTCTGTCTTTTCCTAGAGTGCCTCTGCTCTCCTCTCACCAAACCCAAATGTCTCTCCTCTGTACCAAATCCACATCCCAAAACGCATTCCGACAATCCAGGTGGATGTGGAGACGGAAGGATCAAATGCCACAAATCATGCATGCGACTCCAGACCACCGTGCTTCAAGCCCATCATGGATACAATAAAGCAACGTAACGTGACCATTGAAAAGCACATGCTGATTCCTATGGCGATGATTCGCTGTGGGTTGACGGCTCTTAGAGGAGGAGATTATGTCGCAAGCGCTAATGACGTGCTCTATTTGCTCGCATCGGAGGCTGGAGAAGCTGTGTCGAAAATGTTTGCTGCTGCGGAACAAGCAGGTGGGTGCCGCGCTCACATCCCACTTGGTGCAAGGGGGCTTAGGAAGTGTATAAACCAGACCGAGAAGGATGCCGCTGTAAAGGTGAGTGCGAAAAACACCCTGCCCAGATGCTGCAGGAAAGGAGCAGTGGGTGAAACCGGAGGGCAATCGGGAGCAGCGCGCTGCTCTGGTTTTAATGGGTGCGGGGTCACTTTCTTGTGGCCAGTAATTGAAGAACACTGGCCCCCTGCATCACGGGCAGGAAAAACACCAGAGCTCATGACGCACGCCGCGATGGTCAAAAGCGGGGGGAGGGGGGGGGGGGGGGGGAGGGGAGGGGAGGGGAGGGGGTGTATGGTTCTGGATAAAAAACCAGAGGTCTTGTTGCTGCTTGCAAGGGGAGCAAACCAGAGCTCGTGTTGCTGCTACAGTGTTGCTGCGGGTGTTGTGTTGCTGCTTGTAACCACCGTGCCCTCAACCCCACCAAGCCACCCTCTCCCTGTGTTGTGGTACTCAAACGTCAGGAACTGGTGGAGACGGTGCCCGCATCACAGCACAACTCCACCTTGAAGCACAGTGGAGCCAATTTCAAAGAAAGAGCAAGGGGGATGGGGAGTCTGTGAAGGAGATACTGAATAGGAGTCCCCGTCGTGCACCTGACTTTGAGTACCAGATACCAACGTACAAGAAAGATGAGAAGGGGCGGGTGGTACCGGATAAGGGATTCCATCACGGAGGAGCAAGAAAGGGTGTGAACTACGAGGCTTTAAAAAGTTCAGGTAAGTCCTTGCAATATAGGCGTAAAAGAGGTGGACGACCAGCATTGGCGAACCCAGCAATGAAGGTCGTCACAACAGCTGATCCGGATTGACAAATGCCTTGTCATTTGCAGGTGCCCCCTTCGAGGCCAATGGCGAAGCGCAGCTCGAGGAGAACACCCAAGAGCCTGTCATGAACAGCCATGCAACCCCGAGAGCATTGACGGATGTGGGCGGTGTTTTGGAGGGGATTGGAGATGGGAGTGGGGGGCTTCAACAGGCTGGTGGGGATGTGGTGGTTGGCGAATGTCAGGCTAATGGTGGGCCCTCGGAAGACACCGAGACCAATGGGGCAACAGCATGCGGTTGTACGCCAGGCCCGGCTAGTGAAGAAACGCATGCCAGGTAGGGGGGGTTCCATATCTTTCACACCACTACACCAAAGAGATGAAGTGTCTGTATATGTGTTGCATTCGTTTGTATTGGGAGGGAATGTGATTCAGGGTTGGCACCTTGGTGTTCTTTCCATACTTTGCATCTATCAGCAGGAGAGGAGAGCAGATGGACAAAGCACCGGAGGTGTCACCGGACAACCCACTTCCCTCAACCATGCGTCCAATGCCCAATGGATTGGTATGCTTGCTGGACCCTCGGCAGCTCATCCGTTTTTTCAGCACATTGAGCGTATGCTGCAGCACAGGTTCTGGATGTAAGGGAAAAATGGTCCTCAAGTCCTGGAAGCAAGTCTGGGCATGCTTTTGCCTTGAATGGGCGTGTGACAAGTGCGGCAAAGTCGAGCATTTTTGGTCCACAAAGCGAGGCCACACAACAGGTAAGGCGAGTAAAAAGGGCCCTCAATCCTCCCTTTTCCTTCCCAAATATATAGCTTCGTTTGCGATGGCGGGCATTGGTTACCAACAATTATGGGAAGTAAGTCGCTCCCTTGGTCTCCCTTGTCTTGGAAGAGAGACGTTCTATAGGTACATGAGAGGGCCCCTTGGGTTGTGGAAGGCAATAGAGACGGCAGCAGAGAAGTCAATGGCTGAGGTACGAGCAGAAATGTGCAAGAGAGCTGTTCCAGGGGAGTGGTTGTGCGTTGACGGACGCTGGTCTCATCCACGTGAAGCTGAATGGTGCACGGTTTCGTTCATTGACCCAATCACCCGCAAAATAGCCCTTGTGGTGACAAAGTGGAAGGCGGTAGAGAAGGTCTCTTCAACAGCTTTGGAGCTGCGTGCTTTCAAAGCCGGTCTTAACCAGTTACGGGCGATGGGTTTCCAAGGCAAGGGGATCATTTCTGATGACGGGGGATCATTCAAGAGAGGGATCGAGGGATTAGGAATTGCTCACCAGAAGGACGTGTGGCATAAGGGCCGAGCATTGACACGTAAGTTCATTAAAGATTTGATTGATGCAAAGCGCCCAGCAATGAAGGTCGCAGCTGCCACTTGCACTGGCGATCTTTGGCTGTGTTCAAGAGTGGTGCTCTTCACATGGCTGAAAGAGCACGGTACCCCAAAAGAAGGTTTGAGCGCAACTTCTGGGAAAGCAGATCTCATCGAAGCCGTGTGTGAAAAGCTTGGCAAGTTTGTGTATGATCCACAAGCAGTCCCGACGTCTATCTCGTTGTACCCTGAGTTGCGGAGAGTTTTACGTGTTAGGGAAAACGGGGCAGCAACACGAGCACCCGTGGCCAAGCGCCTGAAGATCGTCCACGGAGGCGCCGCAGAGCATACGCCGTTGGGTTGTGGGGAGGGGAACAACGCCGGGAATGTGGAAGTACCAATTCTGGTGTCCAATGATGAGAACGTCCAGCGGAACCAGCCAGGTGTCGTTTCCATAAATGTCTCCGGAAGTGACCCCCTACGGATCTCTGGGCACGTGCCAGTTGAAATCACCAATAACGTGGGGTCCGCACCTGATCGTGCAGGCGTGGAGAGTTTGAGACATGGTGCTGTGGAGAACTTGCATGGCACGATGGGTGTTGCACATCATGTGGTTGACATTGGATGGAATGATGCACCTCAACTGTGGGAATTTGACCCACACCCTATCCATGGTGTTCCAACAACGGCCGAAGCTGACTATGTGCGCATGACAGCTGACACAATAGTGTCTCAAGTGGATGACGATGGGATTTTGACCGACCAAGATCAGACCTTGGACGGTAAGCTCAACAACTCATCTGAACCTTGACAAGTACAGTTTGCTTTGAAGATAACATTTGGACTTACGTCTCTTTGTTATGTGGCTTCTTGCAGATGAGGCGAACCATCGGGATACCGCTGATGCTGAGGAGCTGCTAGACTCTCAAAGCACCGTGCCAACTGTGGCCCCTCAAACACATGAGGGTGTGGCTGCCACCCCACGATGGACAGAACGGGGCAGTGGGAAGCGGAAGCGTGGTGCGCTTGCAGCCGATGATGAAGATGACGCAGATTTTGTTGAAGTGTCACTTGCACAACGTTGGGGTACTCACTTCAACCACGTCATGCTTCGCTCTTCAACTAAAGCGGCTGCCGGCCATACACCATCAGCTAGTGTTGTTGCACAGGAGCGGGGCATCGAACTGGGTCAACGAATCGTTTCATTCCCTTGTCATCAAATACGCACCGAAGCGTATTCGCTTCCAAGGGAGTATGGTGGCAAGAGTTGGGCTATCAGTTCTGCACTGGAACCATACGGTTTCTCGACTCGTTCGTACCATCAAGACACGGGTCCGTAAGCGGACCAGGGTGCGACGTGGAAGCAAGGAGCGCATATTGGAAGCTATGGACTGGTCTTGGGTGGACAGAATCATGTCAGATTGGCGTGACATTGGTTTGGAGCGAGATGATTCCGCACAGGTGGATGTGCCCGACGATTCTGACCCACATGATTACGATGCTGGTTTCGGCCATCACTGCCCACTATATGCTGATTTTGACAGTCAAACGTGGCAGGCCTCTGATTCTGACCGTCCTACACAGCAGCCTGCAGTTTCTGACCGTCCTACACAGCAGCCTGCATCTGCTGACCGTCCAACACAGCTGCCTGCAGCTTCTTACCATCCAGCACAACGGGCTGCTGACTCCGCCTCAGCCCAGACCGTCCCACCACTCACTCCCCTTACTGTGCGCCAACAATCCGCTACTGCCGTCACTCCAGTCACTCCCCCAACCCCCACCCATGCCATCACCGAACCCAGTGGCACGGTTGTCTCGACCTTGCGGGCTCGTCGAAGAGGGCAGACCCGTACCCAGCACCAGGGGGTCGGCATCCGCAGACCTCTATTCCGTATGTAACCTAACTTGGCATTGGCAAGTAGAGTAGTGGACCTGCCCCAAAATTGCTTGTGTTATAAAAATGTGAAACCCCTATTATCCTGCTGGTTTTATGCGTCCTTGTGTGCAGGAGACCTCACCAATCATGGGTGATACACTGTCGTGTCGGGCAAGTGTTCGCACGCCATCCAAACGTCCCTCTACAACTCCTAAAAGGTGTGGTACCTCTCTCTGTCCCTCTTTCTACTTGTTTTAGTGTGAGTGTATGTGTTAATCATTTACAGGAACACTGCAAAGGCCCCTCTTAGACCCCTCCTTCCCCCCCTTCCACACACACTTTTGACCTGTTGTCTCCTCACATATATTTGAGGGAGTAGAGTACACGTCTTTTAGCACAGCATAGGCCTATCCGATGGTGCCAGCAATAGCCTCACAGCGAGTTATACTGTGAGCTCTGATATATGTTTCCATGACGAGCAGCACATGCCACATACGGTATGCTATCACCCTCTTCCGATCTTGTTCCACAACACCAACCCAAATGGGCTGGTCCGGGTTTCTATTTGAGGTGCTGCCCCTACACCCATTTCCAACCACTCACTACAATATCGCTTACACATCCCCCCCTGCCTCGATTGTTGCTCTTGTGTGCCCGTCTGTGCAGAGCGAGGCATTGTCAAGATAATTATAACCTGACACATTCCCAGTGGCCCCCATCAAACGGCCGGATCTAGGCATAGACGTTCAACACAACACACTATACTTGAAACATGCCATGTCTCAAAATACAAGCCAAAGATGGGTGAGACTGTTGTGGTGTGGTCAACATTAGACAGATAATCAGCATCGTAGACATATTGGGGCCGTGGCCTCCTTGCTATTGAGATATACCTCGACATAAACACAGTAACGGCACCCTGGTGGCCACAAGAATAAGAGTTGACGGATTTCTCGATGTTGAGTAAGCTACATGCATTGAGTAAGCTGCCTGATTTCACAATGCCACGCTGATTTCATCGGCTAGGAACACAACCCCCATGCTCTGACCTCCCCTTACACCTCTTCCCTCCGTGCACTTCGCACCATTACTGTCTGTCACCAACGACATCTAACTCCACGGCAATATAGAGGTGGTCGTCACGTTCGCACGCCAGCTGAAACTTCATGATGTCAGAAAAGAGGTAGAGAGAAGAAGATGAACATAGAAGCGGATTAGAAGCTCTGGAGCGGTGAAGCATGGGAGCAGTGGTGCATAGGAGTGAAGGTGCATAGGAGCAAAGGTGCATAGGAACAAAGGTGCATAGGAGAAAAGGTGAGAAGGGAGGTAGAAGAGAGGGAGAAGCGAGGCTATGGGAGCAGTGAAGGGAGGGAGAAGTGAGGCTATGGGAGCAGTGAAGGGGGGGAGAAGTGAGGCTATGGGAGCAGTGAAGGGAGGGAGAAGTGAGGCTATGGGAGCAGTGAAGGGGGGGAGAAGTGAGGCTATGGGAGCAGTGAAGGGAGGGAGAAGTGAGGCTATGGGAGCAGTGAAGGGCGGGAGAAGTGAGGCTATGGGAGCAGTGAAGGGAGGGAGAAGTGAGGCTACGGGAGCAGTGAAGGGAGGGAGAAGTGAGGCTATGGGAGCAGTGAAGGGAGGGAGAAGTGAGGCTATGGGAGCAGTGAAGTGAGGGAGAAGTGAGGCTATGGGAGCAGTGAAGGGAGGGAGAAGTGAGGCTATGGGAGCAGTGAAGGGAGGGAGAAGTGAGGCTATGGGAGCAGTGAAGGGAGGGAGAAGTGAGGCTATGGGAGCAGTGAAGGGAGGGAGAAGTGAGGCTATGGGAGCAGTGAAGGGAGGGAGAAGTGAGGCTATGGGAGCAGTGAAGGGAGGGAGAAGTGAGGCTATGGGAGCAGAGGGAAGGGCGCACCTGGGATGAAGGCGGTGAGGAGTGCCGCACACCTGGTATGAAGGCGCAGAGGGGAGGACGCACCTGGGATGAAGGCGGTGAGGAGTGCCGCACACCCACTATGAAGGCGCAGAGGGGAGGACGCACCTGGGATGAAGGCGCAGAGGGGCAGTAAGGGGAAAGGCGGGAGCAGGGCGTGCCGCAGAGGGCGGAAAGGGGGAAGAAGGGTGGAAGGAAGAGGAGAAAGGGAGGAAGAAGGGTGTAAGGCAGAGAGGGTGGAAAGGCGGAAGAAGGGGGTGAGGGAGACTGGGGAAAAGGGGTAGAAGGGTGTAAGGCAGTGAGGGGAAAAGGGGAAGCAGGACGTAAGGCACCGAGGGTGGAAACGTGGAAGAAGGGGGTAAGGGAGACTAGGGAAAGGGGGAAAATGGGCGTAAGGCAGAGAGGGGAAAGGGGGAAGCAGGGCGTAAGGCAGAGCATGCAAGGTGGGGGAAGAAGGGTGTACGGAAGAGAGGGGAAAGGAGTAAGAGGAGTGTAAGGCAGTGAACGCATGGTGGGGGAGGAATGGTGTAGGGAAGAGCGGGGAAAGGGAGAAGCAGGGTGAATACCAGAGAAGGAAAGGGAGATAAAAATGTAAGGCAGAGCGGGTATAAATGGGGAAGAAGGGTGTAATGAAGATAGGGGAAAGGGGGAAGCAGGGCGTAAGGCATAGAAGAGAGAGGCCCTAAGCAGGGCGAAGGGAAGAGAGGGGAAAGGGGTTTAGCAGGACGTAAGGGAGACCACGCATGGTGGGGGAAGAAGGGTGTGGGGTAGAGAGGGGAAAGGGGTAAGAAGGGAGCAAGGCAGAGAGGGGAGAGGAGGAAGAATGGTGTAGGGAAGAGAGGGGGAAGAAGGGTGGAAGGAAGAGGGGAAAAGGGAGAAGAAGGGCCTAAGGCAGAGAGGGTGGAAAGGTGGAAGAAGGGGGTGAGGCAGAGTGGGGGATAGTGGAAGAAGGGTGTAAGACAGAGAGGGGAAAGGGGGAGGAAGGGCGTAACGCAGAGAACGCAGCATCCATCCCAACCTGCCTGCACCACACACTCCCCATCGCTCCCCACGAATCGTCCCGCGGGGTTAATTCCCCGTCCGCACATCCATAGCCCCTCGTCGTCCCCACCTGCCCCTTCGCTCTACGCCCTCCCTTTCCCACCGTTCTTCCCCCCAACGCCGTTCCCCCTAGCGCCGCTCCCCGCCAACGAGTTGCGGGCGGCAGCGCGGCGAGTCCTGCGCGGAGCAGGGGTCCGTGCAGTACGACTCGTCGTCTGAGTCGTTGGGATGTTCTGCAGATGCGACACGCGCACGCGACGCGACGTGCCGCATCAGGGTGCGTCGCCTGCCCGTCCGCCTACCGCGCGGACTCCGAGTCGCCACTACGGTCACCCCTGCTGCCAATGGGCTACGCGCTACCCGCCGCGTCGATGTCCGCGCGCGCTGTCGCGGCGACAGCGCCCTCATCGTCATGAACCTGCTGCCCCGCCACCTGCTGGGCCTGCTCGGCTCGGCGGGTCTTGGGCGAGCGCGCGGGGGACCGCACGGCGAGCGACGGACCGCCTGGTTGCCTGCCACTTGCCCTCGAATCACCTCGTTATCGCTTGCTGGCGCGCCATTGATGATTCCGTGCTATTTTGGAAACGCGGCTGCCTACTTGTAGTATTACGAGGCGATCCATGCGACGCGCAATCGCGGAGCGTCAGTCGTGGCACTGCAGATTCTCCTTCCTTGCTTGTTGGTAGTAGGACTCTCTAAACAGAGACACGCATCTGTTGGTATTCTACTCACGTGCATTTCGTGGGGGATAGAGGTGATGTGAGTGGTATGGCTTCTCGACCTAAACCATGATGTGTTTGGAGGTGTGTTGCGCGGTTTAGGAGTGCAGTTTTTTGTGCGAGCAGTTTGAGGTCTGGGCGTCGCACCCCAACCACCTCTCAGGTCCGACCAGGCTGGGCTAGTTTGGTTCACGAATTTTGGACAGTTCGCAGATGTGGCTGCGTGCTCGTCAACTTTCGCAACTCGCCATCCAATAACAAAACACCTACATACACCTACACATGTGTTCACTTTTGGTACTTGAGATCCTGGCTTTAACTTTCGAGGACCTACTGGTTGCGCGTCTAGTCAGTATGAGTTGGCACGCGGGCAAGATGACGTGTCAAAGCTCTGTGCACCGTCAGAAAATCGCTCTCGCGCGATTCTGATTCTGAACCCTGTAAAATTTCGATTCGATTCAAATTACCGTACGATACTGAAATGTACAATTTGGTGCGTTTAAGTTGTATTTATGTATTTATCTTTATATAAGCGCCGGCGCTTATGGCCGATATTCAATTACAAGCGCCCCCCTTAAAAAAACTGATTTTATTATAAGCGCATATGCGCTACTATCCGAACGTTGGATGTCCATTTTGCGGATATTTGAAAGCTGGATATCATTTTTTTTGTGGATATCCAAATTTTGGATATACGCCACGGATATCCCAAATTTTGGATATCCTACCCTATTCCAGAGTCAATGACTCAGAATTCGTTGGGTTACCATCATTTGGAGCCATGGGGAATACCCCACCGCGGGGCCCTAGGGCAGATGAGAATTGCAGCAAGCACAGCACAGAATCGATCAACCAGAAGAATCACTCACGATCAGCTAACTGGTGGGGTCGTATAGTGGCGATCACGTGCAGGTGCACGTCGTAGCGCGTCGATGAGAAGGGTGTTGCCGATCCGCCGTCTCTGTGGAAGGGACATAGTCTCGTGATCGCAAATCTGGCCGGCTAAGTTATTAGCTATCGTCGCAGGGGTGCCTGCGACTTCGTCAGCTGAACGAATCTGTCGCTTGCCTTCGCAATGGTAGCATCTGACCTTTCCGCGTCGCCGGCGAAGCCAGCGCAGTCGCACATTCCGCACGCGACATCGTTTGCGACAGTCGTCAGTGCAACAAGCGGTGCTGCATCCATCGACGAGCAATACCTAGAGGTAGCGCGCCAGTGCAGGTGCACATCCGCAGGAGATCGATGTTGCATCAAAGCTTCATTTGAAGTCAAGATCTCCGTGGTGTATTATATCGTGTATTTCGCGTAGAAGCTCGCTCCCGCATCTCATGCTTCCTAGAGTTACCTTATGATTGTCGTAGTCGTTCGTTATCATTATTATCTTTTTCGTCTCTTCACTCACATGCCCGCTGTCGCTCCATTCAGTCGCAAGCTCGCCGCTGGCTGTCGCAGACTTTATCTCGAACTCTTCCCGCCGATAAGCCGTTGAGCGATCTGCTAGGAGATGGCGAAATACTGTGAGTTCTCGATGCTCTTAGTTATCGATGCCTCTGACTCCGATGGCTCTGCTCCTTGATACCTCTTATCGTCGATTCCGTCTTCATTCCGTCTCTTCTCCCTTTACTCATTCCGTCGACGTTTCGTCTCTTCTTTCCCTTTACTCGTTCCATCTTCATTCCGTCTCCTCTCTTCCGTACTCATTCCGCCTTTCCCCTCTCCCTTCTCCCCCTCTCTCCCCCCTCTCCTCTCACCCACCGTTTCCCTCCCGCCTACTGATCGCGCCGGACGCTCCTCCCTCCGAGTTTGAAACGTCTCATAACTTTCCGCTCCCTCCCCCCCATACAGCCTCGAGCTCGCGTGTTTGGTGCAGCAGCTGCTTGCGCGCGACGTGCCCCCCTCCGCCAGCGTCCCCCTGACGGCGGACTTTGACTCCGCCCCGCCTGCAACCCCCCCCGCGCCTGCTCCCGCCGCTGCCACTGCTGATAGCGGTGGTGGTTCCGCTGCCGCTGCTGCTGCTGATGGTGCTGGGATTAGTGCTGCTGCTAACGGTGTAATTGATGGTAGTGCTGGGGTTAGTGCTGGTGGTGCAGCGGCTGGTGGTGACGTCAGCAGCAGCAGTGCAAACGGCAGCTGTTCCAGCGAGGACAGCAGCGGGCGGGTCGGGCTTTAAGCGCGCGTACTGGCATGCATGCACCAACGTGGAACGCTTTCTCAAGGTGAGAGAGCCGCTGGTGTGGCTGTGCTGGGTAGAGTTATGAGGCGCGCTCAACAGTAAGGTCGCGTACCTTACTCATGCGTGAGGAGAGATGCCAACGCCAAATCGTATCCATGCGACTCCTTTCCTCCATGTCCCTCCCTTTCCCCTCTCCTCTCTCCCACACCACCCCTTCTCCCCAGGTGTGTCGGCGGGTGGGTCTGAGGGACGTATCGCTTCACCTCGCTGGACCTCGTGGATGGCAGGGACGCTCAGCGTTCCCCCCATGTCCCCCTTGCCCCCCTCCTCTCCCTGTTTCCTCTCGCTGCGCGTACCCGTCTCCCCAGGTGTGTCGGCGGGTGGGTCTGAGGGACATATCGCTTCACCTCGCCGGACCTCATGGATGGCAGGGACGTTCGGCGCGTTGTGCCTGCGCACACTGTCCAAACAACTCATGGGCATTCGGGACTTCGACGGCATTATGGTGACCGCTTCTTCTGCTGCTCGCCAGAGACTCATCTCCTCCTCCTCTTCTTCTACCTCCTCCTTCTCAACCAACCCTTGTGCTCAGCCATCATCTCTCGCCTCGCCCCTTCTCTGGCTGAATTGACACATGCAGCATCCATAACCCTTCCCTCCACCACCCCTGCTGCTGTTTCTGCTGCCGCTGCTGCCGCTGCTGTAGCTGCTGATGCCGGTGCTGGCAACATGAGTGGACCATTGTTGAGTCTGGACTATGTTGACTTAGGCACAGAAGGAGGAGAAGGGATGGCAGGAGCAGCACTGGAAGGCCCTTGTGGTTCCACCACTGCGCCTCTCATCAAGTCCGAGCAGAAGCAGCAGCTGCAGCAGAAGCATCAACAACAGCAACAGCAGAAGCAGTTTACTCAAGCAACTGCCACCGAGTCGTTGGATTCTGAGCCGCCAGACGCAGAGGCGCTGTCAACCACCAACAGAGAAGCAGGTGTTTCTTCAGGTCGGGAGAGCAGCGCGCAGGGGAACAGTGCCACAGGTGCTGCAGCTGTGACAGGAGCTGCAGAAGCAGCAGGTTTAGCAGGTTTAGCTTCGCATGCACATGCAGATGATGCCCAGAATGCACCTGCATGGTTTGGACTGAAGGAGGAGGAGAGGCGGAGCATGGCGGGTGCTGCACCTGCCGGCCTGCCGTCGCTCCGCGTGCATGGGAGGGCCGTGGGGGGATGCGTGGGAGGAGCAATGCAGCCTGCCGCAGCAGCAGCGTCAGCAGCAGCGCCAGCCGCAGCACCTACGGAGCGTGCAGCTGTAGCAGGTGTGGCAGTGGCTGGTAGTGCAAGGGTGCAATCGCGTGATTGGAGAGGCGAGAGGGCGGATGCATGGCATGAGAGCCACGAGCAGCGGCATGTGTACCATCGTCAGAGCCAGCACACAAATGAATGTGACCGTGTGCGTGGGGCACGTCGACCACTGTACTAACACTGCATTTTAGTACGACACGGCATGAGCCATGAAAACCGTTCTTTTCATTCACCGTTGTACTGCCGCGCCGCCTCGAGGTAAAGCATATCCGCTTCTTACAAAAAAACTCCTTATCGGCCTCACCCAACCCCAGCTGCCCGTTTGTTGGACGTGGCGACGGCGCGGGCGCGGCAGGCGGGAAGTGAGGACTTGGTCCAAGTGACAACTTGCGGGCTCTTGACCTTCAAGCTACTGCTAATCTATCCCACTGAGCTACGGGTGCCTTAGAAAAAAAAATGATATCCCCAGTTCTCTGTTCTATGTTCCAACATAAGTAGCTTCAGTATAAAGGGAGAATCACCATCATAAGAACAATAATACGTATACACAAACACATGCATGCCCTCCACTTGGTCTGGACTCTAGAGTTTAGGCAGTGCTCTGTTTGTGCTATTGTGCTCAACGGTAGGAAGCAGCCCGTTTTTTAACACAGCGGCGTGGGCGGCACGGAACCCGGCGCCGTACACGGGAGGTGTCAGTCGCAATGGAGTGCAGGCAGAGCAGCCCGTGCCTTCATTTGCTTTTCCAGCTGTCAACCTATGTTATAGGCAGTGCTCTGTGTGCGCGAATGTGTTCTAGGGTAGGCAGCAGCCAGTGCTTGAGAACCGCAGCATGGGCGGCACGGAACCCGTCTCTGTACACGGGGGAGGCATCAGTGGCAATGGAGTGCAGGCAGAACAGCCCGCGCCTTCATCCGTTGCTAGCAGCCCCAGTGCTTGACCTACACTCTAGGCAGTGCTCTGTGTGCCCGGATGTGCTCCAGGGTAGGCAGCAGCCCATGCTTGAGCACAGCAGCATGGGCGGCACGGAACCCGTCGCCATACACGGGGGATGCATCAGTGGCAATGGAGTGCAGGCAGAACGCTGCAAAGCGCTGCCGGAAGCTGCTGTGCGCCTCGTGAGCCAGAGGAGCAGCGGAGGAGGCTTGCTGTGATGGGACTTGTACAGACGGGCCTTGTGATGGGGCATGTGGGGCTGGAGGGGTCTGGGTTTGCAGCCATAGATACGCCATGACCTGGCACATACCCTCCTCTAGCTCTGGAGGCAGATGGCGGAAGCCCCCTACACATGGCACGGGATGGGAGATGGGCACGAGCAGGCGAGTTCTGAGACGTTTCACAGCTTTGTAGGACGGGGTGACAGGCCCCAGCAGTGGCAAGCAGGGAATGGCAGACAAGTGGATGCAGCGGGGGGACTGCAAGGAAACATATACGAATTGTGGGAATGCATCAGGGGGAGGGGACAGAATGGAGGAAGGTATGGGCAGGAAAGGGGGCATACCGTCGAGCTTGAACCATGCGTGCATGAGCTCGTGTGCGAGGATAGACGCCGTCAACACTCTGATGGGGATAGGGGTAGAGGGGCAGATGACAGGCACAGCAGAGAAAAGCAGCAGGCAAGGGTGGGGTGGAGGGGCAGACACAGGCGGAGGGATGTGTATTGTACCCCATGCACCATGCCATGCACACCTGGGCAGCCCATAGAGCACGAGGATAGCGGTGACAGCGCAGTGGCGAGATACTGTCATGGTCTGCTCTGCTGCCCACAGGCAGGTGCCGTCACATGCAGATATTATCATGTGCAGCACAGCACACCAGGCATGCCATGTGCATCAGCCCCACACACATGCCCACCTGGGCAGCCCATAGAGCACGAGGATGGCGGTGACAGCGCAGTGGCGAGACACTGTCATGGTCTGCTGGCCCACTGCAGAGAAGGAGGAGGCGTGGGTGAGCGAGCCGGGCAAACGCACCAACTGAATGCAGCAGGGTAGGTGGGGGTGAGAGAGGGAGGGGAGGGAGGGAGGGTGGGGCGAGACGTGCATGAGTAGGCTTTCACGGCAGACAGAGCGCAGTGGCGAGACACTGTCATGGTCTGCTGGCCCACTGCAGAGAAGGAGGAGGCGTGGGTGAGTGAGCCTGGCCGCCGCACCACCTGATTGCAGCAGGCAGGGTGAGGCAGAGGGATTGGTACATGAGGGTTTTTGAGGTGCCTCAATGACAGGTAAGAGCGAAAGGGGAAGACATACTACATCATTCCACAGAAAGCGGGCGGATGGGAAAAAGACGAGAATGGACGGAGGGGAAGGGACGAGAAGGTGGGAGAGGGACGAACACGAGCGGTGCTGTACGGTGACAGAATGAGGGGTTTTAGAGAGCGGAAGAAGTGACTCACCATCTGAATGGTCTGCTCCTCTGACAGGCAGAGACCTCGCGTGAGCGACCCGTGCTCGTGGCCCTGCCGTGGGGGTGGTGTTGGTGGGGGTGGTGGATGTCGGGAGGGGGGGTTGGGGGTTAAGAGGAAGGAGGCAGAGGGTGAGGTGCACAGGGTGGTAGGGAACAAGCAGCACCGGAATGTGCTGCTACATTGGTGTCACACCCACTCACCTCCCTCTCCGCCCTCTGCGCATCATTCAATGCTTGTTGCTCCACTGCCAGCACCGGAATGTGCTGCCTCACTGGCATCCCCAGCTGGGCAAAGAAGTCACTAACGGACGAAAACAGCGGGCGGCAGTCGGCGGAGTCTAGCACGGCGGAGTCAACGCAGTCAAGGCAGAGGTGCCGGCCATCTGGCAGGTCAATGAATGGCGGGGAACCGCGGGACTGCAAGCAAAGGGAGCCGCAGGGAAGCAGGACGAGGAGATGGAAAGAGAAAAATGCTTTATTTTTCTTTGTTCAAGTCAACTGAAATTTTGCCCGTCTGGTGGGTCAATGAAAGGTGGAGACGCATGAAATTCCAAGCCGTGGAAGCAGGACAGGGAAGGAAGGAGACGAGGAAGTGCATTGAAGCAGCAGGTTTCAATGTGCCTCGTCGCGTCGCTGCGTGCACTCTCTCTCACACACACAGCACAGCTGATTTCAGCCCACTCAAAAGCCTCAGGGCCCACCTGCAGGCGGCAACTGCTCTCCAAGCTGCCTCAACGCATTGCCCTCACCTGCAGGCGGCAGCAGGAGGTGCAGGACGGCGTGCTGTCTGTCATATGGCCGGGGCACCACTTGTCGCCCCAGAAGGGGTGCGAACGGAAGTTGATCATGCCTTCTGGGTTGGGGCGGATCTGGAGGGGCGGGTTGAAAGAGAGAAGGAGGGGAAGAGGTTGGGGGGAGGGGAAGGATGGGATACATACGGTATCGAGAGGTGAGAATAAAGAGGGCCTTAGTGTGGATTCTGATAGGCGGAATGGAAGCACGCATTGCAAGGTGGCTTTAAAGTGGCTGCTCCCTCGACGCACTTGGTAACCGGGAAGAAGCAAGAGGTGGGAGCATGCACTCACAAAGTCTTGGCAGACGGCACACTTGGGGTGGAAGAGCTGGCGGTGACATGCTGCATGATATGGCTTGCCGTCCTTAATGTTGAACTAAGGGGGGGAGGGAGGGTGGAGAGGAGGGAGTGACTCAAGGCATGTAGCATGATATGATGGCATGCTGCATTATATGGCCTGCCATCCTTAATGTTGAACTGGGAGGGGGGATGTGGAAAGAAGGGAGGAGGGAGGGAGCGACACAAGGGAGGGGGTGATGATGGCCTGACGGCATGATGGCAGGGTGTGCTGCCTCTTCAAAAAGAAGTTTGTGTGCACAACACATCTACGACACATGTCCCCCAAATCACACACAGCAATATCCTTTCGCCACATACCTGTTTCTCTGAGATGGTTTGCTTGCATGCGTGGCAAGTGAAGCAGTGCGGGTGCCACAACCCCCCCATGGACGAGAGAGCAGGAGAGAAGCCCAGAGATTCACCGCACCCCGCACACATGGGCGGCAGCAGCGCCGACCACACAGGGTGCTGCTGCCCTCCACCCACCACCCTCCCTGCTACCGCGCCGCCCGCCCCACCGCTGCGCTCGGTGCTGCTGCCAGGAGGAGGTGCTGCAGGCGAATGCGAGTGCCCGCCCTGGGGAAACCGGGAGGGATGAGCGAGGGGAGGGAAAGGGTCTGGGCAGATAAGGTGAAGCAGGTCAGTGTGGGGCCAAGGGGTTATCACTCCTCGCGTTGCATCTCTCAACATTCTCACATTGTGGTCTCCACATTTCATCTGCTTCCAATTTCACATCCCTCGTTTCCCTCGCCTCCTCCATCCTCACCTTCCCCAGCCTCACCTCCCCCAGCCTCACCTTCCCCAGCCTCGCCTCCCCCAAACTCACCTCTTCGAGGCTCAGCTCCTGCTGCAGCAGCCGCGCTATCTCCTCATCGTTGCTCATGTCCGGCGCCCCCAGCCCCACCTCCCCACCCAGACTCACCTCCTCGAGGCTCAGCTCCTGCTGCAGCAGCCGAGCTATCTCCTCATCGTTGCTCGTGTCCGGCGCCCCCTCACCACCCCCACCACCCCCACCTCCACCCCCACCTCCACCCGCACCTCGCCCCACTCCGCCTGGCCCCGCTCTGCCTTGTCCCCCTCCACCCATGCCCACATGCCTCGAACGGTCTGCACCAGCTGCTGCTCCTCCTGCTCCTGCTCCAGTTCCTGCTCTTGCTGCTGCTGTGGCTGACCAGTGACGATTCATGGCTTCTCGTTGCGCTGCTGCCGCAGCTGCTGCTGCTGCTGCTGGTGTCCTGTCAACACCCTGGCCTCCTGTAATGGCTGGGGAAGCATGGCAAGAGACGGGGGGAGGGAAGGGATCAGCACATGCAGGCAATCCGTCTGTGACATGCGTAGCCGGTGCTAGGGACAGGTCGACACACAAACCAGCACACGGGTCGACACACACGGTTGGACGCACATACACTTACCTTGAGCTGCCTCCTCTGCCTCTCGTCTCGAAATCTCCAACGCCAGTTGAAGGGCCCTGTCCTCCTCCTCCTCATCCCCGCCCCTCGGCACCGCCTCTCCCCTCCCCACTGCCTCCCGCCTCCCTGTGTTTCCCCCCCAACCTGCGCCCTGCTGCTCTGGCTGACTGCTCCTTCCTGGGGGCCAGCCCCCTTGCTGCTGGTGCCTCGGAGCCTGCTGATGGTGGTTCGGAACCTGATACTGTTGGCTCGGGACCTGCTGGTGGTGGTTCGGAACTTGATGCTGCTGGCTCGGCACCCATGGCTGATGGCTCGACACGTGCTGCTGCTCCTGATAAACCAGACAAACATAGAGGAACGGCCGTGTAAGTAGCAGCAAAACATAGGGTGAATGAGTGAGGCATGTGAGATGGAGTGGAGGCACAGATGGGGAGGAGCGGGAAGAGCAAAAGCTGGGATTTGCGTGTGTGGATGGCACACCTGCAAGGAGAGCCTGAGTGCCTCTTCCAACTGCCGCTGCTCCTCCTCCCTCAGCTGTTGCTCCCTCTGCTGCTGCATCGCTGGGTGCTGACTGGCCAAGGCTGGGGGCTGCAACGGATATGGGAGATGAGGTGATGTGGGGTGGTACGACGAGTAAGTTCCTATCGATTTACGTTCATCACCTTGTCTCTCGACGTCACCACATGAAACTCTTAATTGCATGGAAACGTACCTGATGATGCAGAGATTGCGTCGAGCTGCTGCTGCGATTAGGCTCTTCTGAACCGCCTGCTACAGCCCTGCATGGACCATGGGAGAGAAGCGGCAGGCTTAGCCAAGGAAGGTTTTTGAATCTCCTATTCGTTTTTCCTATGCATGACGGGTCGGACAACTTCAACAGAGCTGGCCTTTAGACGTGCTGGCCTTTAGCGACCTAAAGATGCACCAATGATCCTAGCGGAAAACCGCGACTAACGAGTTCAGTTGAAGCAATTGCGAGAATGGTTACCTGCGAAACCATGACGTCACGTTCCCGACGACGTTATCCATTCAGTCCCGGAATATAGAACCTAGAATCACTGCTCCTTAAAGCGGTGTAAGCGGCTAGCGTCTACGACTGTCGTGGCAAACTGGAGCTGGTAAGCCGTATGATTATGATTCTTGCCGTCGCAGCTATATCAAGTAAGCCAAGCGGTCACCCTGATGTGCTCTAGGTCGAAAGCTACTATCCTTTCTCTTCGTCCGTCTGCCGACTGACTGCAGAGCTCAAATCTCGATGTGGAGAGTGAAATCTAGGTGGACATGACACCCAGAAGCTTATGGGAAAACTGGAGCTTACTGCTTGGAAGGTAATGCTGTAAATGTTCTGGAACTGGAGGTGTTCGGGAATCTCGAGAATGGTGTCAGAAGCGTCACCCTCACAGAACAGGCACTTGTCGGTGCGCTTCGGTGAAGCTGTGCTGTGGCGGACGTCAGGCTCCACGAGGGGTTGCGTATGCGTTGCGTTGTGAATTTGACTGTAAAAGGCACCATAATCTAAAGCATAAACAGATTGCAGCCAACCGAGCTGCACCTAAACGAATACCGGAAATTCAGCAGGCTGAGACACCAATAATGGGTAAATGGTCAGTTATACGCTAGGTCAGGTTGCACTCTGTATGTACACAAGAGTTTTAAGTAACACAAAACGTTTAACAAAAAAAAAAGCAGGCTGTTGATCAGGGCCCAAAATATCAGGGTAAAATACCCTTTTTTCCCTGATGGTAGGCCGCTTTTTCCCATTTACCCTTGTGAAATCAGGCTATCAGAATTTTTACCCTAGAGAAATCAAGCTACGATGTAAACAAACTGATTGAAATTTCGTTTACCCGGACTGTTCAGGGTACGGAGCCAACTACACTGATACCGGAACTTTTTTAACCGCAGATTCCGCCTCACTTCACGTGCGGACAAGATTCACCTCGGTCCCACTGCCACATTTGTCTCGTTCGACCACATCGCACCACCGGTAAATCAATGCGGCTGCGTGCCTGCTCGTCCGATTGGTCCTTAGAGCCAGTTTTGTGCCAACGCAGCCGGGTTTATGGCCACAAGTAGCCACGCCCACTGCCAACGGTGCCAAATTGCGCGCCAAGTGTGGTTCGTGCTGTCGTTTGTATCGCATGACAGTGACCCTTGTGCTGCAGCAAGTGCCATGCAGTTCCCGCGGTGCGCGGGAACCGTTCTGGAGGAGTCTTCTTGGGGTTTGTGTTTCCCAAGGGGTCCCTTTTGTTCACCCCATTCTCTCACTTCTCTCTTGTTAGTTCTCAGACATGCCTGCGGAGGAGCCTGATCCGCCTGGTAGCATCAGAAATAGACTCTCCGTGCTTGGAGTATTACCACGGCTGCGTGAGAACTATAGTGTTCCCGTGTCGCAGCCACAGCGCGAGCCATCTCCGGAAGTATGTGTTGGAAATGATTATCCGTTTGAGCCAACAAACTCACCGAAGGCGTGGGAGCCGCATCCATCTCTGAACCTCGTTCCCGATGGTGGCCCTGGCCCGTCGAAGCCACCAACTGCGGCCCCGTCCACTTTTAGTAGCTCGCCTGTCAAGCAACAGCGTGTGGGCGCGACATACAAGCAGCAAAGACTCTGGGGCGCACCTCCTCCCCGACATGCGGCATCACCACTACGGCGTGCCGCTCCTGCCGACCCGAAGCCTCCAACCGCGTCTGCAGAAGCTGAGTATGAAGCTGTAAAAGCCACTTTCGACTCGCAGTGGGCAGGTAAATTCAGCTGGCTGCGCTTAATGTGGATGACGAATGGCTGGCCGTCGTTGAAATGTGCAATTTGCATCAAACACGGCGATCCGTCTGCGCACACTGCCTACGGTGTGAGAGGTGAGGGTGCTCGAGATTTGCAGATAGGCAGCATCCGCAATCACACATCAAGCCGAGCCCACAAGCGTGCACTGGAAAACGAGGCCAAAGCTGAGACGGAGAAAGCGAAGCAAGCCACTCTCACTCGGTGGCAGTCCACCGATGCGTCTACTAGGCACGTCATACGCTGCCTCCACATCGTGCTCATCATCTGCCGAGCTGACGCCCCTATCACCATGTTCGTTCCTCTGTGCTGGTTTTTGGCGAAGGAGGGATTGCCGAATCTTCCACAGTCTGGAGGGTACGGCGCCTACTATACCGAGTATGTGACTGGGCTGGTGGTTGTGTTATTGCCGAATCCTCCACCGTCGATCTCTTCTAATGCTCTGTATTTGTGTGTTTTGTCTCTTGTCCGTCGTAGTTACGGATTCAAGGAGAAGCTGCGCGCCATCTCAACGTATCTTCAAGAGCCACAGCGTGGGCACCTGCTGGAATCTCCATGGATCGGGATCTCCCTGGACGAAAGCACCGACATGGTGCATAGGAAACACCTGATTCTTTATGCGACTTTCTTCAAAGGGACGGCAACGGTAACAGAGTTTTTAACCCTTATCACGGTGGACCGTGCTCACGCTGCGTCTCTCACCTCCGCCGTCGTGCAGTTGTCAGAACTAACGAACAAGAATGAATGAACTATGAAAGAGTTGGGTACAAGTGCTAACCCTAAGTTGGTTGTACCCCTTATGGGCTACCCCACTATAGCCTACACAAAGTAAGCTATATAACATTTTGACACACCCCCATAGGCAAAGTGGGGGAGAACAAGTGGTCACAAGACCAGTCAAGAAAAGCAAAGCAAGCTTAGGGTGGATCACAAAGTCACCACGCAGTCCGAGCACAAGCAAAGGGCCACAAGGCCAGTTCACATGAAGAGTTACATAAAAGAGAACAAATAATACAGTGATCATACCCTAGAAAGTGTAAGCATGCAGGTATATATATAGATCACAGTACAAGCAAAGTCACGAAGTGAGCAAGTGAGGCAAAGTAGGCACAAGGCCTAACACAGTAGAGAAGCGCTGATGATCACCAGGCGGAAGTGCCTTGGTGAATATATCAGCAGTGTTGGCCCTAGTGGCCACGTACGCAAGACGAAGCTGACCACGCTGCTGCAACTCACGAGCAAGGAAGTATTGTAGAGCGATGTGCTTCGTTCTGTGCTCCAGTCTGTGCTCCTGACACAAGGCAATCGTGGCCTTGTTGTCTACGTACAGAACTGGAGGCGAACGAGGCTGCTCTCCTAAGTCAGTCAGCAGGTAGGTGAGCCAGTGTAGCTCCTGTGTAGCCATGGCCCCTGCGTAGATCTCAGCCTTACAACTGGAGCTGAGAACCGAAGACGAGCGGGTAGACTGCCAGGAAACAAACCCGGAACCGAGGCTGAAGGTGTAACCCTGTGACGACCGCTGCGTAGCTGAGTCGTCAACCCAAGAAGAGTCTGCGTGACCAGTGAGGACAACTGGACCCCGTCCTCCAAGCACGAGCCCCATGCTCGACGTACTGCACAAGTAACGCAGTACCCTCTTCGCAGCATCCCAGTGCACCTTTCGGTGCCTACCGGGAGCCACGTAGCGAGCCAGGAGGCTGAGAGGGTACGCGAGGTCAGGTCGAGTGCACGTCATCAGGTACATGAGGCAAACCACAAGCTCTGGGTACGGACCACTCGACTCTACGGACTCGTCCGAAGGTGGAGCTGAGAGCGAGTGGCCGGTAGACAGAGGAGTGGGCTGTGGCGAGGAGAACTGGAATCCGAAGAGCTGAAGGACCTGATGCACCATGTGTGACTGAGCCAGTGTGATGGTGCGCCGTGCTCTGTCCCGGGTGATCTGCAAGCCAAGATAGCTGCGCAGTTCACCCAGGTCAGTACAGGTGTGTCTCTTCTGCAGCTCCGACTTCACAAGGGTCAGTGCCTCAGTGTCAGCAGTGGCAAAGACGAGGTCGTCGACGTACACGAGGACGTAGAACGGCGGCAGCGACGTGTCGGTGCGTAGAAACAGCGACGGGTCAGCAGTAGAAGGAGTAAACCCC